CGGTCAATAGCTTCCAAAATTGTGGTTCCCGGACATTGTTGCAGAAGCTTGCATGCTTTATTGGGATAGCGTGCGGTTGAACGTGGGTGCCTCATATGTTTTTTTTTTTTTTGCATTGACAGCCTGTGGTGCTTAAGTGAGGGGTACTGCCATTTTGGCCAACCAGAATCATTGAAACTGATGACCATAATTTGGCAGCACACAATAGTAATTTATTGACACCAATTTATGACATTATAGGTATAATTGTCCCATTGTGAGCAGCCTGAAAAAAAGCTACATTAGTCGTATTTGAAATCAAATTCATGTTCAATAACATGGGTTACCTGCAATGGATACTTGACGAAAGTGAGTACCATCATGTATGTGTGGAAGTATCATTGAATTTGCTTTCAACACCCTATGCACGAGCACAATTCAAGCATGGTTTTGACACATCTGCAATGTGGAAATTGCATTTTCCTTCATAAGGTTGCAACTGTGTCCGCCAAAAACATCAAGAAAGTTTTGCTTGTACATCTCTAGTTTGTGTACATCCTGCTTGTTTTAAGACACATTGTTACAAATCATTTTAAATATACTGAAAAATTCAGTTTTTCTAAGAGACACATGTCACACATGTCACTAAATTGTTTTTTTTTTGTTGGTGTTTCCATCGCAGCCTATTCATGCACCTCGTACGAACTGAGTGTGAAAGAATTCCGGAGAAGCCTGTCATCAATGGTGGCTCGTGGAAAAGTTGGCTACTGAATGTACAGCAGCTGCGCATGGCTTATATTTCCTATGGAAAGGTAACTTCCCTGAGCCACCTGGTTGCTGTATTCAAGCAGCTCGCATGTTCAGGATGTTCAATATTAAGCCTTTTGCTTTCTTTAAAAAAGTCAGTGCTGTAAGTTGTGTGTGTAAAAGGCACCTTTGCAGATAGCTAAGTGTTCAAGGGAACACAATGTGCAACAATAATTATCACTGTCAGCCATGCCCTTGAATACGATTCAGTAATGAACTTATTAGTGACAGCAGCAGGCGGCCATGCACGTATTAAAATTTGAGCCAGTCACATTTCTACATAGGTCCAAATAATTCTGGCATGCCTGTGCTCAGATATTTCCGCTGGAAAGTGTAGTTGTGGCTTGTATCATTCTACATGCAGGACAGTGAGCACTAGCACACAGCTACTTTTCCCTGAGGTGCCACATGATAATCTGATCATGTATCAAAGCCATAGACAAGCATTATACTAATTATCCTTTTTACTACCGGCTGGAATAGCAAGCACTTCTGCTTGTCTCCCCAGGGAGTAATGTTTTGGTGACCCTCGCTGCCTTTCATGCGTAATCATTAAAATCACAATAAACTTCCGAGTGAAATATCTCAGAGCATAGACATGCTCGAGGAATTTTTCCAAGTGGGAGTGTGTAGAAAACACGACTGCCACAAACTGTTCTATGCAAACATACCCATTTATTGTAGGCCCCAAAATTTTGGTATTCTTAGTTGATTGGGCTAGCTGACAGCCTTATTGTCTTACTTTGTGTTACCCTGGACACATAACCTATCTGCAAAGGCAGTTTCCTGTTCTTAGGGCTGAATTTTATTACAAGCACAAAGCACGTCTCTGCATGTGTCAGTGCTGCTTTCTAAGGTTTTATGTCATGTTTAATTTATGTGTAATCTGCAGTTAGTGCACTTAAAATGAACTTTTTGCATTGCAATAAGACTGTAGCAGATCAATGGTTTTATTTTCACTGTGATATTGACTGAATATTTTGTATTATTGTTTTTGTAACCTTATTTCATTGTCTTCTCGAATTTAATGCCGTAGGTGCCATCATATGATTTTCTATTGTCATACTTAATCATACCTAACTTTGCCAATACCTAACCATTTGTATATATTAGCGATACCTAACCATGTTTAACATTGTTAATGATGACTGGAATACTGTAACGTTTTTTACTTCACTGTGTCTTTTGTGCGAGTATTTTGGAATAGAATTAGAGTTCAGGGTGTTGCTAAAATGACAATTTGATTGTGAAACACAGATTTGTGGTGAAACCCATTAATTTCAACTACTCATGGTTCTAACATACCTAAATTTAGGCGCACTGGGTGAGAAAAAAAATCAATTGTTCGACTGCTGCTTTTTTGGCTGTAACAAATTTCCTACCTTTATATATTTGCTACTGGGCCAATGTGTTTGCTAAGCCAGCCTTCTAAATTTCGTTGCACTGATAAAAGTCTTCTCGAAGGGAACAGTTTGTGCCTTTTGTATGTGTGCAGGTTCCTGGACCAAGTATCTAGCCAGCCCCTTAATTGCTTTGTATAATTATATTTACTAGTAAGCATGCAAGTTTTGTGACAAAGTGTGCAGTCATTGTTATGTATAATAAAGGTTACAAGTATGCAACAACATTTAGTGAAATTTTGCATTTACATTTAGATGTGCGGTATGATGCATTCCAGACAACACCAGAAACAATAATGAGTTGACGTTTAAAAGCCCGCCTTGTCTTCAAGCAAAACATATTATCGTAATGATAGATGGCAGTCACTAATTATTTCTTTCAACAATTATGGCACCAATTTTGCTGATTAGAATAAATAGTACGAGCAATATTTTAATGCCAAACTATGTTGCTGTTCCTACTTGTCACTCTCGACAGTGAACAGCTAAATGCACTGATTGTAAAACGCTGACACGGCGCAGCAAATCAACCACGGGAAACACTCAGCAAGCTGGTTTGCATGAAAAATAAATGTCTAAAAAGGTGTCAGAAGATCTAGCAAAAGTCTTTTTAGAATCTTGGCAAGAAGTTTACTAGGCTTCTGATAATAAGTATACTAAACGTTTACAAAGATTCTTCAAAAAATCTAGAAAGACGTTTTTTAGACTTCTCGCTAGAAGTTTTATAGCCGTATAATAACGTGGCGTTAGCACAGCTACAGGAGGTTTTCAAGCTGCTTAGGTTTGAATACCATCTCAACAAGACTTCTTATATACTTTTGGACTATCCTTTTTGGACGTTTACTAGAAGTTTTTTAACTCTTCTTGTGTTTCGTGGGATTGCTGGCCTCAGAAAAACAAACAAACGGAAACCCAAAAAAACTTCATTCGAGCCGCCACCCACCACGCAGGATACGGAAACCCCAATCAACCTTAATTGGCAGCCCCCCGAAACGCGTAGCGTTTCCATACGTTCACGGAACCAGCGAGATGTTGGCGCGGATCTTCAAGAAGGTTGTTGTTAGTGGTTCATGAGGAAAAGGAAGAAGGCACCTAATTTCTGTCTGCCTACAGGCGACACGGCGCAGTGCCTAATCTTCAAGAAGGTGGTGGTAGTGGTTAGAAGATGAGAAAAGGCACCTAATTTCTGACACCCGGTCGGGAGCACGGCGCAGTGCCTAATCAAGAAGGAAGGGGTTCGCATAGCGCACGTGCCTTCGTGTACGCTGGGCAGCCTCCTCCTCCACCCCCCCGGAAGACCGGCCAACAATGGACAGGAGCCCCGGTGTCGTTTACGAAATTCCGTGCGCCGAGTGCCCCGCATCGTATATCGGTGAGACGAGAAACCTTCCGGAACGACTGAAGCAACACGCCAACGATGTGCGGAAGTTCTACAAAGAGCGCAGCGCAGTCGCCGAACAAGCTGAGAGATTGGACCGCCAGAGAAATTTCGAAGCGACGGCCATCCTCGAAAGCGAGCCGTACTGGAGGAGAAAGTTGTTACTCGAGTCGTGGCACATACAGGGAACAGTACATTACATCAACCGCTCTCTCGGAACCCTTCTCCCCAGTGTACACAAACGGACTGCGCTCCACGGCAAAACGAGAGAGAGAGAGAGAGGGTCATTAGCCACCCCTCGAGTGCTTTGAAGACGCTGCTGCTACGTAGCCTACCCAGTGATCCCTGAGGAAAGAACCAAGTCGGTTCCGAAACATCGGGTTTCTTCAAAACTTTTGGTTGGAGTCTATATCATCTCCCAGTTTCACACCCAACCAGACAGACTTCTGTCAAATGTTTACATTCAAGATATTGAAGCTGTTCTCAAAAAAATTACATTTTGGCAAGCCTTGATTTGTTCCACTTGGATATATACAGCATCTGATGCAGAACCAGATGTTTGTAACAGTGCTGCCCTGTACATCTCAATAATAATGAAATCATCAGCTGCTTATGCCATTGAGAGGGTGCTGCTATGTGTGAAATTCTAGGGGCACACTAAAGGAAGACATTACATCGAATAAAGAGTTCATCTAAGCTGTTTTTGGCATTTATTGTGCGCTTTTTTTTTTTGCTAGACGATGCCTCACTGGAGTGGTATTATAGCCACAGTCAATGTTACTGTCTTTTATGAGGCAACAATTACTGCAATGCCCCCATTGTGAAATGACCGGATTTTGAAAATAAATACGCACCACCCATGGTGGTGGTGATAAAACAAAATTCAAGGGACCAGAGCTGAAAAAGGAATGGTGAACTGGAAAAAAACAACAACGAGGGTGTTGCTTTGTATTATGAAACAGTGCTTACAGCAGTGAAAATTGTTGCTGCGGTAGTGCAAGGCATCGTGACTTCTTGCATGTAATAGCAACGCTGGTGGCTTCCTCGGCTGAACACTTCACGAAATGTGGTCATAAGGCAGGCTGGTGTCTCGACAGGTGACAGCGTTTCTGGCTCCTAGTAGCATAAGTGCACATATGCATCAACTGCTAGGTGCTAGTTGTGTAAAGTCTCTTGAAAGGGTATTTTTGACAGTGAAACAGCGAATACATACCATTAAAGGAGCTGTCAACACAGAAAGCCAGCCAATGCACTAATGTAGACGAAGTTGAAAAGTGCTTGCGGGGGACATTGCGAGCACACTCAAATGATCGATTATGTACGATTTATCGTGTGTTGACTACATTTGTGATTTTACTATAGCACTAAAGCAGATGCTGCCATATGCAGCACGCACTATTCAACATTTGACTATCCTGTTGAGAAACAAGTGACACTTGTGTGTATATAGAAAACTTTAATGATTTTATATACATAACAAACTAACACTTAAAATTGAAAAGTGACAAGCACGTAGAGGCATGCATGCACACAGACACACACCACTGATCTGATTTCACCTGGGTTAATGTTGACTTGGAATGTTACTCAGTCTGTGCAAGTATGTGTGTGTGTGTGTGCACATAGGGGTTTTATTAACCATAACTGACTGTATGCACGTAGGAGGGTGGCAAACACAAACACAAGCTTCCCTGGGAACCTAGAAATGTGTGCCAGCAGAAACGCTGGCCTCCTGGGGTATTGCTGATAGCGTCTCTTATGTATATAGATAGCCTCTGCTTCCTCTGTGTTGGACCACACGTTGCTCCCCATAGACTATGTATATACTCTACTTTCAATAAATATGCTCTTTCCTAGGTTTGAAAAAAGTTTTAATTAGCCTATAGAGAGATCTCTGCTAGCTCCTATGAAAAAGTTTGATTGAACTACAGCAGATGACGCGCTCTGTGCGCAATTTCAGTTCGGTTTCAAACGACGCGCCAGACCTCGCGCTGGTTTTGGGATGAAGTTTAACAAGGCATATTGTCGCACGCATAGTGGTCCGAAGTCCTCCAGATCAGAAGCCTGGCTTCTGTTTGCACTCTTTCACTTCGAGGAGGGGGTTTTTTCTAAAGTTTGTAACAAACGGAAGTGGGGACTGCACCCCTCGCAACACGAGAGGAGCAGTCGTACAACTACGTGACAGCTCTGTGCTCTGGAGCAGAGCCAAGTTCCCACTTCAAAGATGCAGTTAGCTGGAAGCCAAAACAATCGCACAAACACCTTAGGTGACGGCAGCTGCAAAGCTGCTATGTCCTCCCACTCCTTCCTTTGACACCCAGACATCAAGCTGAACTTTCGTGAGCTACGTGGTGGTCAAAACTGCGCGAAAATTTCTTTCATCGAACTTGTTGCAGCACTCATTCGTTGTTTCACGCTCAAGTGCAATCTTTAACTTTGCAATGTTGACCCATAACTTTGTGCAACGGAGATGATGCAGAGCAGCACCTGATCACCTCTGGTGCTTCTGCATGTGTTTTGAGGCAAAGTTCTCTACAAGAAAGATGTTCTGTGGATGAGAAAGATGAAAGCAATTGACAATGAGCATATTCAAATGAGACCTAGTGATTCCTGGTAGACATCAAAATACTGCCTCATAAACAAAAAGAAAAGCCTAAACACAAGCATGACACATTGGAAAATGTTGGATGAGCCATGCATTCCTTTACCTGTGACCTCACATACAGACTGCTCTCGCCTGAGAACAATGACCTGCCATAATGTTTGCTAGTGTAACGTCAATGGCCTTTGCCAGGGTCGTGTACTTAAAACACAAAAATCCAGTTCTATAGCAGCTGGCAGAATTCAGTGTCGCCACAGTACCTAAAGTGTAGGGAAATGGAGGGGCTCCAGCTGATGTACGTGAAGTTGTTGCCCACTCGCCGTTGCACCTTACACGTTAATATAAAAGTGGTGTGGCCAGTTTACAGGGCTTGGCCCATTGTAAATCCTTGGTAGCTCGTGTCGCCCTCATATTGAAAGAAAGGCTAGAGCGAACACCCAACTGGAGACTGGGAAAAGTTATCCGTCTAGGCCGAAACGGAAGGCAATTTCCGCAGTGGCCAAAAGAGTTGTTGAGGCTTGCTCCAGCATGTTAGGACCTGGGCAGCGTACACTAGAAGCAAGTCTCCTTAGTCTTTTCTTCGGGCGACTTGCTGTCCTCACTAGCAGATGCTGGTTCAGCTCCGGGTTCGTGCACATCAGATGGCTGCTGTGCCACGGACAGCTGCAAAGACTGGCTGCCCTCGCGAGAATGCGCCTGTGTGGAGCTCGACTCGCTCTTGGCGTGTTCGGCATTGTCGTCCGACACGTCTTCTGTCACTGCGCTCTGGCGCTCCAGCTTCAGGCTTGACCTGAGAATGGAGGTGAGCGATAAAAGTGAAGTTGACCACAAATTTGTGCATAATTAAAAGACAATATTGGCAATTTCATCAAAAGAAGATGCACTGAAAGCATTAGCATGATTGAATAATGCTCCTGGAAGTTGGGGGGTGTGCTCGAAGCTTCATGGCCCTACGCCACAGGCTTAATTAATCCAGCACTGGCATGAGCGCCACTGTGCACTGCCCATGAAATGCTATGGCAATACGAGCACCAATGAAGCGGCCCCACTTCTAGACTTGTAAGTGCTTTTCTTGCAACGGGACACCGAAATTCGAGACAGACGGGATACAGCTGTGAGAACGAAATGTTTTGCCATTTCATTATTACATGCCTAACATGCGCGCACTCATAAACATTTACGGGAAGCACCGGATGCTGGTGAGCCCAAAGTTCTTCAGTCATACGAATCCCGAAACTCCCCAGAGGCCCGGTGTATCGAAATTCGAACTTGCCATCGGCCTAAAGTCTCGGAAGAAAGGGGGGAGATTGCCGATTGTCGCGTCATCGGCTGATACAAATAATAACTAAATATAAACGCGCTTGCAACGACGCTAACGCTGCTTCCGAGGAGTGGACGCAGGGATGCCGCCGCGGCATTGTACTAGTTTATATGGCTGCTCTTAGATGGCGAAACAATCTGCGGGCCGCTACGGAGTCTTCGTCAGCGCGCCGCCCTGAACGGAGTCGGCGCGCACATGGGGGCTCCCTAGCTACGGGCCGTGTAGAAGCAGCCTTGGGCACGTTCGGGTTCCGGAACGCAGTTTTGCAACGAATACGATTGAAGAACTCTGTGCGAGCGCGAGGTACGATCGGTGACAGCGCACGGCCGCTACGGTGCGAAATATATTGAGCATAATCGGCGGTATGGGTCAGGCAGCAGTGGCGGGAGACTCGAGCGAGATAGCAGGGCATATTGGAAATAATACCGCCGCCTGCATACGGTAGATGATTGATAAGCAGCGCGAGAATTAGTCGCAAGGGTCAGTGAAGCATCGGTAGCTGTCGGTGGCGTAGCCAGGGGTGGCACACCGGGCCCGTGCCCCCCCCCCCCCCCTTTTTTTCCCCGATCGCATCTTACAGCCCAGCCCTCACTTTACATATAATGAAAGTGAGGGCTGAAGTGACTCCTTAACCCCGAAAAAGTCTGCGCTCCTGGTAGCTGTGCGTTCGGCGTCCCGCGCAAGAGGCGAGGTCCTGCAGTCAGGGGTCGGAAAGAGGAGGCGAGGTGTGCACACGCACATGGGCGTCAGCACGATTCTGTATGTCCATCAGTAGGGGCAGAAATACTGTTTTCCGGATATTGTGGATATGGATAATATTGTGGATATGAATATTATTGTGGTTATAGATAATACTGTTTTCCGGAAATATTGATTTCGAGGCCGGCAGGAAGATGTGGTAGAGTGACATTTCAGGAGCTCATTTGGCAAGCTTTTAATGCTCGTGCCTTGTCCGGCGGCAGCGGCGTGTGCAGTCTTGTCTTTATACTTATAAGGCAGCGGTTGAAATCTTCGTAGCACTTATTTTATGGTACGGCTTTTTCGGGGGCCAGTGACCAGGTATTTATTAGTTACTGCGGGTGTGTGTGTTTGAATTTTTTTGTTGTTTTTTTCTTTTGCCACCCCGTGGGGGAGGTGCGCGTACATTTACCACGCAAATTTTTGTAGCAGAGCTTAGACTTTCTTTTTTTTCGTGGTGCACGGCTCGAGTTTAGTAATTATAGAGTATAGGAACAATTGGTGTGAGAAAGACATGGCTAAAAAGACTGTAAAGTGTTCAGGATGTGGAGTGGGTTTGAAAGTGGACCCAAGCGTAGAAGCGTATGGAGAAGAGGCTGACGCGAAGTGTAGGCAATGTGAGGTCGAGGAAAAAATGGAGAAAATGATGGTTGCCCAAAGTGAACTGCTGGTGAGAATCGATGAGCTCGAGACTGCGTTGGCGACAGAGCAAGAGAAAACGAGGGCAACGGGAGAAAGACTGAAGTCCACCGACGAAGCACTAGCGAAGCTGAACAAAGAAGCGGCCTACGGAGAGAACAGTAGAGAAGCGGCAACCAGAACGGTGGAGAAGGAAGAGCAAGCAAGTTTGGAAAAAACAGGTTAAGCCGGTTCAACTGTCGCAAGGCCCAGCTTCAGCGAGGGAATGGTGGGGCTGGGAGGGGACAAAGCAGCCGGCGTCGCAGGTGCAAGTAGCCCCCAGGTGCAGGACACTCCAGCTGAAAAGTCACAGCATGTGATAATCGCCGGGGACTCGAATTTAAATTGATGCACAGAAGCCATCAAAGAGAGGGTAAGAGGTGACAAGAGGGTTGCAGTAGGGGCGTTCCCAGGACGCAAGCTGGAAGCAGTCATGAGGCAAGCGAGCGCAAAACTCAAAATTACAGCTGATAGACGAAACCTCGTGATAATTTCAGGTGGTTTAAATGATGCCTTAAATGAAGATACAGCAGGACTAGCAGCCACACTGGCGAAAGGCGTCGATGACATGCGCGCCACTTCTCCTAAGGTACAGGCAGTGATATGCACGATACCGGAGGTACCGGTGCGTGATAGCAACCTGCAAAAAGCGGTGGTCAACGCAAACCAAGAGATATGGCGGATGAGTCGAGAGAAAGGCTTTGAGGTGGTGGAAATAAACAGAGAGGTGCATAGGTGGGGGGGGGGGGGGGGGTTCAACGAGACAGAATTCACTTCGATGGGCGGCTAGGTCATGAGGTGGGTTGGCGACTTGCAGGACGCGCAGTAGCTTTTTTGGGGGGGCAAGCGAGCCCTTCGGGGTGCAGGATAGCTAGTAACGAGGAAAACAACCAGGGAGACTCTTCGACAGGTGGTATGGACAGGTACGATTCCAAAGTGGCACCAATATCTAAGATAGGTAGAGTCCGGGGCATAAATAGACGTAGTCACGAGCGCCGAGCCAATTCAGACATAGGGTATATTAACATGCAGGGTGGTAGGAACAGGCTGAAGTGAGAAGAGAGAGAAGAAAAGCTAAGGGAAGAGAGGCCGATGGTATACGGTTTTGTAGAAACACATCTCAGGGACATGGAACAACCTCCAAACAATCCGGACTACGCATGGGAATATTGTAATAGAACAGAAGGCAGCAGAAAGGGGGGTGGTATTGGGGCATTCGTTCATAAAAGTACAGACTGGCAAAGGGTCAAGCAGGAGTGCAAGGAACATTTATGGCTAAAAGGGAAAGTGGCAGGTCAAATGACACTCCTTGGTTTCGTGTACTTGTGGACGGGAGCAAAGGCCAGAGAGGAAAACCAGACAATGGTAGAGTGTATATCAAAGGACATTCAGGAGTTAGGAATAGAGTGCGAGATAATTATACTAGGAGACATGAATGCGCACACAGAAGATATAGATGGATATACCGACCCGACAGGCAAAATGATCATGGATATGTGTGAAAGGCTTGATTTGATCATTTGCAACAGTACCGAGAAGTGTGAAGGGCAAATAACATGGGAGGTAGGAAGGCTTCAGTCGACGATAGATTATGCACTGATGTCACATAGGATGTATGATAAGCTCAGGGGAATGCACATAGATGAAGGTGGCTCCAGAAGTCTGGGTAGCGATCACAAACGTATCAAGCTAAGTTTTGGAAGAGGAGTGAAAGTGGGAAGGAGACAAGATGAGCAACTACAGGAAAATTTTTATCCAGAAAGGCAAATTGAAATAGCCACTAAACAAATTGAGAAAGTAATCACGGAGGATAATAAGACAGTGTGGACATACACGAATCTAATTAGACTCTTTGAGATAGAGCTTGCTAAGACGCGTGACAAGTCACACCGGAAAACAAGACACAAACCCAAAAGTTGGTGGGATGAGGAAGTTAAGAGAGCCATAGCAAAACGCCAAGAAGCCTCTAGGGAACACAGACATGCTAAGCAGTGGGGTGAACCGACAGATGATGTTGAAAGAAAATGGGCAACCTTTCTAAGCTGTAGAAGGGATGCATCCCTTCTGATGAATGAAAAGATTAGAAGGAAGGGAGCTCAGTGGCTGGCAGAAGTACATAAAAAAGATAGAAAGGCAGCTGCGAAATTTTGGAACCATCTAAACTCCCTAAGAAATGAGACGAGCCTAGAGCAGAGATTTATAACTACAGCCCAAGGTGCTAGGCTAGAAGGGGACGAAGCTATTGAATATATAAGAACAAAAGTGACAGAAAAATTTCAACAAAGAAGTACTTTATGCACCACAATAGACAAGGACGAATCAAGTGGTGCAATGGCTCCATTTTCACAACAAGAGTGGGAAAGGGCTGAGAAAAAGGTTCCTAGTAGTACATCAACAGGCCCAGATGGCATTCCAATTAGGCTGATAAAGACATTAGGTCCGAAGTCTAAGCAGGCTTTGAGAGAGGCAGTGAGCACAATAATAATCGATAGTGAAGTTCCTGATAGATGGAAACTTAGCAGGATGAGCATGATCTATAAAGGAAAGGGGGACAAAGCTGACATAAACAACTACCGTCCTATAACATTGACATCAGTGGTCTACAGGCTGGCGATTCAGATTATAAAGGAAAGACTGCAGGCGTGGATAGAGGATGAGGGGGTGCTGGGGGAACTGCAGAATGGGTTTCGGAAACACAGGAGGTTGGAAGACAATCTGTTCTCACTGACGCAGTGCATCGAAATAGCAGAAAAGGAACACAGGCCCCTGTGGCTAGCATTTTTGAATATCAAGAGAGCGTACGATAGCGTGGTTCAAGAGGAATTGTGGGGAATACTGGACACACTAGGCGTGGAACATGTAGTCACTAATCTTTTAAAGGGTATCTATAAAGGTAACAAGGTAGTTATAAAGTGGGAAAAACAGGTATCCAAGCCTGCAGAGGTAAAACGGGGGCTTAGGCAGGGGTGCCCCCTGTCACCCTTATTATTCATGATGTACCTACAAGGATTAGAGGCAAAATTAGAGGGAAGTGGACTGGGCTTCAACCTGTC